CCGATAATATTGAGTGGATACGCTGGCTGATCGCTGGCGGTCGAACGCCCAAGGAATTTGTCAAAATTGGTAAGTACGCAATGAGACAAAGAGAGAGAGAGAGAGAAAAAGAGAAGACTGCGCGCGTTATAACAAAGTTGTCCAAATTATTATAGTTCAATTTATCGATAAATCTCGCTAGCGATATTTGTATCGTTAACACCAGAGCTAAGCCAGCTGATCGGCCAAGTCGTTGCCCCTGAAATTGGCTCCGTGTGAGTGCCTGCTGTTAGTGTGCGCGCGCGTATGTATTTGTGTGTATGTGTGTGTGTAGGGCATGGTATATGGCACGCAAGTAAAAGCAAGGTGCAAGCAGCGTGACAGTGCAACGCCATGGTAACAAGAAACAACAACACTTTCAAATTATATATTACATATAAATGAACATAGAGCCTAATCAAACAGATACATACATATATATACAGTCACAGTAAGAGGTATTTACATTCGTTAACTTCAGCCTATTTAGCACACATTTAATCTGGCAACATTATCTATTTACATTGTGCCAGGCAGAGTGCGTCGCGAACATTGGCAACCCCCAGATGGCCGTCGCTGTCCCACTTGTCACACGCACGCACACGCACACGGCTAGCTGTTGCACCTTATGCCTGTCAGCTGTTGTTCGGCTCGCCTTGCGTAATGCTTCCGCAGCAGCCATCCAAATAAACGCATCTGCGTGTGTGCGAAAAATGCGATTGAGTGGTCACCCTTGTTAAAGAGAGCGATTGTTTTGCTCTCTTTTTGCAAATGTTTTTTTTTTTTTTTGCTTTAATTTAGCAAGAACCTTGATTATATGTATGTATGTGAGTTAGTGTATGTGCAAATAAGAAAATCATTTCAAACAATTGCAAAATTGCAAATGAAAACGCTACATGCTAGTGCCATGGAAACAGAGACAGACACTCGGTAATATCTCTACAAACACATGAAAGGTGGTACACTGGGAAAAGTTTATTGACCGTCATTGTTGTTGATTTGACAATTGTGTTGACACGCCATGTTTCATGCACAGTGCAGGCAGCACATGAGATACTGAGCGAAAGCTATGTATGCTCATAAATATTACACACACAATTTCACATTACAAATGCCGGCTTTCGAACCACAGTGCAATCTGCATACATTTCTTGTTCGCTCGCTCACTCGCTCTTGTTCTACTTTTTCATTATGCTACTCTCTTTTGGGCCTTGCAATTGTTTGTTGACCGACCGTTATTGTTGTTGCCACATGCAAACATACCTACATATATATGTATGTATATGTGTGCAGTATAAATTGCATTTGCTCATTCAATTTGCTAAAAGAAATACAGAAATCATCAAATGGCTATTTAATCGAACTTTGTCACAAAAAAAAAAAAAGACAATGGCATCAAGTGGGAAAGGGGTGGGGCATACGCAGAGTTGCACAGCGACTTGTCGATCGCCATTGCCAGGCCATTTTACAAAAATTGTCAATCAATTTTACAGTTTTGCTGCGTTAGCCGTTGTTTGTGTTGTTACGTTGCCCTTTTACGATTGTTTTCCTTCCGCATTACGTTTGACCTTTTTTTTTTTTTTTGCCTAGCCAAAGACAAGTCACGCAACACATTAAATATGCCAAACAGCAATGAGTGCATCATATTTATTTTTGGAATTTAATTAAATCAATAAAAAGAGCGTATCAACAGCGGCAACAACATCAACAACAGGCGGTTGATCACGCCCAATGTGTGAGCTATGCAAAATATGCTATCGTGACTAGTGCTGGCAGTTATTGGCTAAAACAGGCTAGTTTAAGAGGACGATTTGTGATATGCTGAACTACTATAAATGTTTGGCTCAAATATATTGTAGTTTTCTTATAGCTTGAGTATTGAACAATAACAAATATTGAAAGCCACAGTTAAGTACAAAAGAAAACAACTAGTTTGCTTTCATTTGAATAACGAAAATAGCTAAATCGTTAGCACTGATTATTTTGATAACACGCACTTTAGCTAGCGATAGGTACGAAAGCAAACTATACAAACATCGATAGCGCATATGAAAGCTTCATTTCTATTTGCAAAATAGTTAATGAAATTTTATATGCAATTAAAAAAGCTTTCGAGTAGACTATCGCATGGAATATCGCACTATTGCAAGTCGATAATAATGAGCGCTTTTGAAGCGTTAACTTCAAATGAACAAATATCGCTAAATTGTAGAAAATGAAAACCTTTATTCGAAAAATGAGTCGTTGTTTTAAAGTAACTAAGTCGCCTTTATCATTTCAATTAGGGCACTTAATGTCAGTGTCGAAGTGTAATACTTCAATCGAGCAACATCGCTCGAATTGCTAGCATCGTTCACTTCTAAACAAAAATATAGTTACTTTTTTAAAATTCACTATTCATTACGTGCATAAACTAATTAAAGATGTCTTCTCCAGTTCGCAGCTATGATAATCATGCCAAATGCGGCCTGGTTTGGGTTCCCCATGTGGTGGCATATCGCTGTCGCACCTGCGGCATCTCGCCCTGCATGTCCATATGTCGGGATTGCTTCAAGAAGGGCAATCATAACAACCATGACTTCAACATGTTCTTGTCGCAGGCAGGCGGCGCCTGCGATTGCGGCGATACATCGGTGATGAAGGCTGAGGGATTCTGCAGTGATCATGGCATCAATAACCGTGTCAACCGGGAGCCGGTGCCCAATAATCTATTGGCCGTGGCGGAGGCGATCATGCCAAAGCTGTTGTTTCGTCTGCTACAGCATTTTCGGGAGCACAGCGATGCCACGTTGCAGGCGCACTCCATCACCTCGTATTCGTGCGAGGCCTTCGCCAATATGCTAATCGATTTGAACAACATGGGCGAGATAATGCGCAAAGTGATGACCCGCACGCTAATCAATCCCGATGTCTATTCATATTTTATGGAAACGCCTTGCCAGGATACTCGCAACGGACGCTTTCTGAAGGCCAATCGTGAGAAATATGAGGATGCGGTCAATCGCTTTCCCAACCCTGAACCACCCGATGAGTATCGCGATTTACCAGCTTTGGGCAAGAAGCTGGTGCATACAACACTACTCGAGGAATTCATATTTTGGACATTTAAGTTTGAATTCCCGCAAACGTTGGTCTGCTTTCTGCTCAACATGTTGCCCGATCAGGATTACAAGGTGAGCACATTCCTCCGTCCTGTTTGCAATTTTCAAATAACAATTTGTATAATTTTAGGAACATCTGACGCGTACATTTGTGATGCACTACAGTCGCATTCCATCGGTGCTTGAAATGTCCAGGGATCCGGATACGCTTAGCAACCGGGTTGTCCATATGAGCGTGCAGCTCTTCTCCAATGAGAGTCTGGCCCTTAAAATGGTCAACGAGCTGTCGCTGTTGCATGTGATGATAATCAGTTTAAAACTGATGATGTCCAAGATACTCATACAAAATACGCTGCACGGTAATGCAATCAATGAATCAATCACAGTCAATCAAATTACTCATGCTGTATTTGTTTTTTCCCATGTTTTTTTTTTTTTGCAGATCCCGCAAAGAATTTTCACTTTGTGATCGATTGTACGCGTCAGGTGATGAAGGATCATTGCTATTGGCCACTCGTATCGGACTTTAACAATGTCCTCTCGCACGAATCTGTCGCATTGGTCTTTCTGCGCGACGATAATCTCATTGATATGTGGTTTCAGTTCCTGCAAATGTTGCAGGGCATGAATGTGAATGTCAGAGAAACGGCATCGCATGTGGAATTCGAGCCGAATAGCTATTATGCAGCATTCTCGTGTGAGCTGGAGGCCAGTGCCTATCCCATGTGGTCCATCATATCTCATCTACAGGATGGCACGCATGCCCACCTGGCCAAAAAGATCATCAACTACTGTGTGACAACGCTGCACGAATGGCTAGATTCGATCTACTTCAGGGAGCCCAAATTGTCGCTGGTACAATCCCATTACAATGATTTATCTAAATTACCTAATAATAATTAATACTAATTATTTTGATATATTTGTAGGAGGAAATGATGCAGGCCTCGTTTCATTTTCCGCTGCATCGATATCTAGCCGCCTTTGTCTGTCAAGCCGTCACCAAAATGGGCATCAGCCTCAGCGATGTGCTGCCCTCACGTCCTGACATTTTGCCCTTGCTAATGATACATCCATTGCGTGTGCAGGTGAGTTATACTATTCAAATATGTATATATGTATGTGTGTCTATATAGCTTATAAGCAGCAACTGCTTTGAACTTCGATCTTCCAAATATTTCTCAAATACAAGTTAGGAAAAGATATGCTACATCATATACATATATCGTTGTCTTTTTTCTATATATTATGTGGAAACCTCCACTACTTCAGTATGTCCTTGACGAATGTAAATTTATATATCCGATAATTGATAGCTTCTGTATCCACTCTTAACCTTTCTATTTCTATGCTAGTCCAATATGCCTTCAATTGAGCGACAAAGTTGTATCATTGCTATCTATCCAATCGAATAGCTTCTATATCCGTTTTTATACCCTGAACCCATTGACAATGGGAAATCATTAACTTTTCTATTGCTATATTGCTCGTTAGTTAATTATTTTCATTGCTATCGAAAGCTAACGATATTACAATTTCCACTATATAAATACAAAAACGGTTGAATTGTTTGTTTTCCTATTTTGTTTTTTTGTTTTGAATTTTTTGTTTTGTTTTATTATTATTAGTTACATACGCCTATGTTTTGTATGCCAATAGATAACGTGTATTCTGTTTATAACTAAAAATTTCAATTTCAAATTTGTTTCTTTTTGTGTTTCATATTGTCAGTAGACAGCGATAAGCAGTAATTAGATGTACAGCTACATATATATGTGCATGTTATATATATATATATATATATATATATATATACATATATATGTATGCATAAAAAGCTATAATTATATTATATGAGAGACGTGTGTTGTTGTTCTATAATATCATCGAACAATCAGTATCTAGTTAATGTTTTTTGGCACCTGCACATGCGGCGTAAAGTCGTAGGTGATAATTTTGGGTGCCAGAAAGCCACCATAGCCGGGACGTCCCTTATAGTAGAGGCCGATGCCGGCTAATGGCACCGGCGGCTGTGACACAACATCCTGTATATCCAAAAATGGCACAGTGCTCTGCGCCGCATCCTTGTCCATGCCCGAATTGACAAATTCAATGTATTGATTGTGCTTGGACATTGGTATCGAGGTGACCACCGATCTCGTGGGCACGTCAGCATTGTAGATGTTTATCTTTTGTCTGTCATGGTGGGAGAAAGTTGTGTTAATTGTTGACAACTGATTTGGATATTTGTGTAATGCCTGACTCACCTGCGTTCACCGCTAACATCGGTATTGTCGTTAGATTGCCAAACGCTATTCACTTCCGGCTGTATTAGTTCACCCTTCTTGAAATCGAATTCAGTGAGCCGCGCCTCCAGATTCAAATGGGCGCCAAGAACACGAAAACGCAGTCCGGTGACCACAAAGCTATTGTCATCTGCTTTCATGATGTCATCCAGATCAATGGAACGGCTCTCGTAGCTCAGCGTGTGATAGTCAATGCCCTTGGCAACATTTCGATCATAGATTTTGTAGTCATCGACGGGCTTCCAGGACAAGGTTGACTCATTGACGGCGCCACGTGGCAGCAGTTGACCCTCCTGAATCTGCAGATGGAATACACGATTCCGTTTCACAAAACGCAGGCCGGTAACAACGCTGTGGGCAGCAAACAAATGAATTTGTTAAATACATATACATTCAAGATTTATATGTGAATTCCTTCACTCACTTGTTATTCTTGACATCCGCCACGGATTCGCGCAGATTAAAGAAACGATCGGACTTCAAGCCCTGCTCGTCGCACAGACAGAAACAGTAGCTGCAATGCCAGAAGAGATAACGCCACCAGCTGTCCACCTTGGTGGTGCCTCGCACACACCTCTGACGCTTTCCGAGCACACGTCCATTCTCGTACTCGATATACTCGTAGCGGCGTGTGCTATTCGATGCCGCCGGGCACACCCACATATCGGAGTCAACGAACTGGCAGTTGTAGAGGCGACCCGTGCACTTGGGCTGTCGCGCGCAAAAATATTCCTTGAAGCAGCCCTCGCTTCGCGTCGACTGATAGAAGGAGCATGTCTCGCGGCATGTCTCATCCGCATTCAGATCCACCTCGTTCTCAATGTATCCCTGCAGCAGGCGTGTCACCTCATCGTATGTTTTGCCTAGTACAAAACGATCGGGATCACAGCGCCAGACAATACGATCGGAACGGCGCATCACCTCTTTAAGTAGCTTTAGTGTTCGCTCTGTGCGCTTCTCATAGTCGCGACGCATTAGTTCCGCCTCCTGTGAGAAATTGCCACGCCCATAGACGCGCAGCATCATCCATGAGAATTCCATCATTGTGTAGCCCTTCAGTTCGGTCAGTGCGATGTCTGTGTATAGTGAATACACAAATTGTTGGGCCGATTGCTTGGTGTGGCACATTTCATCGGTGGATGCCTGAAAATTGCAAATGTCATCAAAATAAATAATATTTGCGGTATTCAGTTACGTGCACTCAATAATTGTTGCAATATCGATAGCACAGCTGAATTGTTACAAATTCCAATTATTTAGGGGGAGAAAAAAAAAAAAAAAAAAAAACATTTGCTCAATTCTCTCCCTTTCTCGCTCATTTTCGCTTTAAAGTCGTGTTTACGTTATCGATAGCACATCTCAATTACAGTTATGACCTGCCATACGTTCCAATTAAAAAGCTGCAAAAGCTTTGCTCTCTCCTACTCTCCGTCTCCTTCCCTCGCACTCACGCTCGCATTTTATTTTATTTACATTCTATGAAAAAAAAACAAAACAAAAACATTGCCATCATTCCGTTTCCGCTGCTGTGGCTCTGCCGCTGCTATTGCGTTTGCAGGGTGCAAACCAACCTAGGACAGCGGGGCTGCCTGACTGATAAGCGTATGAAAACAGTTGTGAATGTGAGAGAGACGGATATATTAAGTAATTTGGTGTATTTGATTTGTGTGAATCTGAATGTGGGTGTGTGTCTGTGTGCGGGTTGCTTTCATTCTAGCAAATGTATTTACGAACTAACTAACCACCATGGCCCTGTAGTATAAGGCTTGTTTGACCATATATTCCTCGATTGTTTGAAATATTTGCGACATCGAAAAATGTTTGTCGTTGCGCAACACCGTCTCGGTTAAATCCAATACAGCGCGCTCCTCCAGTCTATCGCTTGAGACAGGTTTCATTAGAGTGTTCTGATAAGAATTAAGAATTGTTTTAAGATTATATAGAAATGCGTGTTTGAAGAGGAATGGACCATGGTATTTCATTATGGTACCTTATAGAAGTCAAAGATCCGATTCAGTTCAACTAATTTCAACTCCAGTTGATTCCATTCGTAATGATGCATAATTTGATATTTATCACTCGCAAATTGACGGTCCATTTGAGGCCTATTAATAAAGCTGCGATGCGAATCGTACACCTTGCGCAATTGAGTCTCCTTGTTGTTTTGGCTATTTGCTGTTTTGTTCAAATAAATCCAGAGCGCACGCTCCAAACTGAGATATTCCATGCGCAGGGCATCCACCTCAGTCATTGGAGTCCGATGCACGTTTGTGTATACCGACTGCGCAGCAGCGCCAGCGCCAACAGAAATCAGCGTCAGCATGAACAGCAGCAATAGCATTATCGTTGACATTGTGTTATTTCTCTTATCCATCACTGCTCTTTTACGCAGCACAAAAATTGATGTGATTGACGGATTTCCAAGAATCGATAGATTCTCTGAATCGACTTCTTTCTTCCTTTCGCTGTTCTTACTGGTTTTATCACTTGTCTCCGCGTGCCAAAAATTACCAGCAAGCAGTAAATCGGCGTTGCCAGCCTTTTCGAACAAAGGCAGCCACTTAGTTTTCAATGTGCATATGTATGTATGTATGCATGCATAAATATTGTCCGTTATATGCCACCTTGCAGTCAGAATTAGTTTTCATACACTACACATATGTGTAGTGTAATTTGTTAAATGCTTAATTTCAATTAAGTTTTGTTTTCCATTTGATTTGATTTTGCTATTTATTTTAATTTTTTGCTAAACACTTTTCAGCTTCGTGTCGCTGCTGTTGCTGGTTGTTTTGCTACTGTTTGCTGCTTTCAGCCGCTCTGCTGACTTTTGTGAAACGCTTGCTGTATATGTTTATAAATATGTGTACACGGGTGTGTGTGTGTGTGCACACATGCATGAGTGTGTATCGCTCGGCACATTCAGAATCAGAATTTACTCCCGCTCACTGTATGCGCTCGTCGCTCGCTTGAGTCGCTTTCGAGTACTTTTTTATACAATTTTTTTTGTTTAGCTTTCGTATTGTATGGTTCTTACTGTTTTTCTATACAACTAGCGCTCGTCGACATCGACGACGCTGAGAGTTCGTTAAAAAAAAAAAATGAAACAAAAAGTCTCGGAGCTTTGCGACTAGACATGGAGCGCTTTAAGCATCCCACACACACACAATTGCACTTTTCGCACACTGGTTTAAGTGAGTGAATGCGAGAGCGCACTCTATTGGACGTTCAGCTAAATCTGACAGTATTTACGGCACCAAAAGGGCGGAGTCGGGCAACAATGCACGATCAGCTGTTTGCACCTGCTCAATCTTCAATTAATATCGATAGTCGTGACGTCACATTTACATATATACTTATATACCACTAACAGCTGTGTAGTCAACAATTTACTCGTCTTCCACTCTTTCTTCAGCTTCAGTGCACTGTTCTCTCGCGTACACGCGCATTCTCTCTTTGTATCTCGCTCTCTCGTGAGCCACCACCATGATATGCATTAAGAAACAAAAAAAAAAACAACAAAGAAATGTTAAAGCGCTGCTGGGGGCAACGCAGCTGCATTGTCTTATTCTCAAACAAGTCGCGTTTGCGTTTTCTTAGTGGTTGTTTGTTTGTACGCATTGTTTACATTAGTCGAGACCTTTGACCTCAGCATACGTAGCTAAATAGACGTTTACATCCATACACATGAACCTGTAGTGTGTGAATGTTTTTGTGTGTCTCTGTATAAATGTTAGCTTTTGCAAATTCGACGTTTTTTTTTCGCACCACCTTCAGCATTGATTAAATAAATGAAATTTGCTGCTAATTCGTATGCGTGCGTTTGTATTTGAGTATGTCGCCCTGTGTGTGTGTGTGTGCGTGAGTGGAGTGTGGCTCATCTTTTGGCATTGCTTTGTGTGTCTGTCCGTCCTCCCATTAAATGCCGTTGTTTCTGCTTGTGGATGAGTAATACATATTATGAATATTGAGTCGCGGCTGACGCGTTTCAAGTTATGGACTTTCTTTTGGGGTTGCCCAATTGGCAGAATAAAGAAGAATAAATAAACACAAAGGCAAAAGGCGAGAAACGCTTAGCAGGCATGGACCGGAAAGTCGGGTTCAATTGGATCCATTTCTGGGAACGTTTTAACGCCAACAACAGCAGCTAACTAACTAAACTAACCCAGCTCAATGCGATGAATCATTCATTCATCCATTCATCTCATGTAGGAAGTCAAATTCACATGCACAAGTGATATTTTTGAATTGGAATTTGCATCGTTTAGGTTACCTCATAGCTGGCCGCCAGTTGGGTTAGCAAATTGCCCGATGATGAATTTAGCTTCTCATCGTTTCCATTGCCCAGCAGCGTCAAGTGCAATCGATCCATTAGATGATGCACCGAATGGGCATTGGGCGAAACGGTCCATTCAGCGAATGTGATCAGTGTGCTCATCTCTAGCTTATCCTTGTGGGTCTCGTAGTTCTGCATTTGCTGGTAGCGCGACGAGATGCGATTCATCGTATCCGATATTTCATTCATTTTTGCCATTAACGGTACATTCCGACTAATGAAGTTGTTAACGGACTCAATGGCCAGCGCCACATACTGCGAGTGCTGTAATGCAATAAGTTTGTGATATTCATTATTTCTAGATTAGCATGTATTGAAAGTTAAGAGTTTTGTTCGGCCTTAGCTCACCTGTGCCTCCGTCTCGTCAATCTGTCGGCTGACCTCCTTCAGGCGCTGCAGTACTTTCCGCTGTTTTTCGCGCATCAGCGGAAATTCAATATTGGCCGCCAATGGCGACGATTGTACAATGTCCCACGCCTTCAGCACGCCGGTGGTCACCTCCTTAACAATGTGTATAATATCCAATACATCCTCAATGACCGCCTCTGTTGGTGTTGGCTGGCCACCCAGTAGCAGAAGCAAACTCAACCACAACGAAAAAGTTGCCCATTTTGCTTGAAACTGCCGCAGCTGCATAATTTGGGTTTATTTGTTGACTCGTTCAAGTTTAGATTACAATTTTTTTTTGCGATCAAAGCTGAGATACTGACACAAGAACGAACAAATAAACACGAACACAACAATAACAGCAGCAGCGACAGCGAGAGCAATAGCAACAATCACAGTCTAACGACTACGGCTCACGCAACTGCGTCAGTTGAAAGGCGAAACACGAATGGCGGCAACTGCCGTCGCTTCTATCTGTGGTTGTCTGTGTTATGGCTGCTCTCGCCGTTAGCTTAGTTTGTATTGCTTGACTTCTTTTGCGTTCAAGACATTTTCTCTTTGTTGAATTTTTACAGTTGCATGCGGAACAGCATAGGTCAGCACATAAGTGCGAGTGAGCAAACAATAACATACAAACAACAACAAACATGCGTATCAGCCGTTACAGCGCTGCCACACTGTTTAAATATGTTATTTTGAAAAATTGGTTCAAACGTTGTCGCTGTAGCGTATCGATAACAAGTTACAAAATATCGTTATGCTATTTAAATTTGAAACTTTTCAGCTGTTATGTTATCGACTTGAGTCGTTATGATTCGATGACCGTCACGACATACAACACTTTGTTTGTTTTGCTTATCGCACGTTTATTGATATGTATAAGTGGGTTTTTCCCCGTGTATTCAGAACGTTTCAAAGGTCAATATATGAAAGATTAAAATAAATTTAATTAAATTAAAATAATTTTAATTGCAATTAAAATTTCATATTCTCTATTTTTGTTTATTTTCTCTTCTTTTAGAGCTTTTTCTACGAAATTCTTGCCGGGAAATGGGTGCGCAACGGTCTGCAAATCAAGGGCCAAGCAATGACCTACATACAAGCGAACTTTTGCAATTCCATGGCCGACATGGATCTATTCTTTCTGCAAATTTGCGCCACAAATCTGTCGCAATACTTCTTTCTGCAGAATACAATTGAATTGTTCGATGTGGGTCAATGGCTGGAAACGGCGCCGCTGAAGCAACCACAAAAACCTGAACAATCATCGATGCTTGAGGGTTTTCTCACATTCCTGGCCACCCTGGTGACGAGTCGCACGAATTTGGGCAACGATGAGGCGACCCAATGCATCATTGAGATTAGCGCTCTGTTGGCAACTGAAAATAAGACGCATTCACAGTTGCTTGAACTGATGCCCGAGCGTTCGGGCAATGTGCACACAAAGAACTTTGAGACGTTCCTCAAGAAGCTATCCGTGTATAAGGCACCATCGAGCGGGTCGGAGAATCTGGAACAGGGTCTCTTCACGCCCATCGATGAGGTGTGGGAGGAGTATTATGATCCATTGCATGTGCTGCTGCGCGCTGTCCATCGGCGTGACTTTCAATCGTCGCTGGATCGTTTCACCAACTATGTGAAGTCGAAGGATAAGATGCCAGCCAGTGGAAATCTGTGGCCACCATTTCGTTTGCCATTGCCGGTGGGCAGCGCATTCACCGATCCCTGCAGAATTCTCAACTCTCGCCTCTTCCATTCGACCATACTGTCGATCTTCTTCCGGGCCGTGCATACGCGAGATGTGTCCGAGCATCTGCTCGCCTTGGCTGTCTTTCTGCTCGAGATCGCCGTGGAGACGAGCAGCGATATAAATGCAGCCGGAGCAGGTGGCTCGTCGAACTCATCTGGCGGACCTGTCGCCTCACCCGTCGCCATGGTCGAGTGTGAGCCGCAGCATAAATCTGGCTACTACTACGGCGGCAGCCGACGTGAGCCGCCCAAGCTCTTCCATTGCTATCCCACGGACAATCTCAGCTGCAATCTGCGGCATGTGGTGACAAAGGTTTCGCTCAAGTCGCGCGATCCACAAGTGACCACGTCCAGCTATCGCTCCAATCCGTTCTTCTCAGATCTGGACTTTGATGTCGATACGGGCGGTATGCGTATGATTGGCGACAGCTACGGCCTGGACGATCTCGACGAGACGTCGGGCGCAATGAGCGTGGCCCGTACGCAGCAGCAGCGCACCAATAATGCACTCACACGCATGCGCATGGAGTTGGCACTGGTGCCCGATCTGTCGGTGGTCGCCGAGACGGGCGTCGTATTGCTCCAGCCGGATAGTTCTGATAGCGATGGCCATGATACGGCCATGGATATGAGTCCGGCAGGGGCTGAGTTTCATCATTTCCCATTGCAACAGATAACGCTGCCCGAGAGCGGCATGGAAGTGGCCATAAGACGTGATCTCCTGCTTGCCGAGACGTCGACGGCAGCGGCAGCAACGAACGACGATCGTGATAGGGATAGAGACAGGGAGCGTGACCGGGATAGGGACAGGGACAGGGACAGGGAGCGCGATCATCCGCGCCACACTGGCTCCACAAACACAACCAATGAAATGTTCTCGCCCACAACGCCGACGGGCGGCGGCATGCTGTTGCCGTTCCAGCGGGTGCGTCTGCCAGTGGCTGTGCCCAGCAGCAACATGGATGTGGTGCCATCGAATGCGTTGAGCAGCGGCGCTGTTGTCGGTGCCGGGGGTCGCATGACCTACGATCCAAGTGGCGGACGCAAACGCACCGTCGACATTGCCATCGGTGGACCCGCCAACAAGGATGAGCTGCACATGGATGAGAGCATATTATCGCTGCTCCTCAAGCTGCACTCGCAGCTGAGCGGAAATTTGGACAGTTTCTCGCTCAGCGATGACGGTGGCAGCGGCAGCGGCAGCGGCAGCAGCTCCGCGGCCTCATCCTTGCCCATGGATGTGGACTGCAATGAGGCG